GGGAATCGTTCGAGGGGAAATATCGCAACGGTTACGAAATCCTGTGACAACCTGATATTAGTGCGGTCGGTAAATATTTATAATAATCTTTTATAAATTTATTTGAGCACCGAGAAACGTTCGACGTTCCGAACAACAACGCGCGTGCTGTCCTTCGTTATCGCCCGAAGAGAAACCGTATTATCAACATGTTTTTAATTCCCTGCCCCCACTGATTGTGCCCCGGAACAATTTTTCCTCCCCTTTCTTGATCATATAATATTCACACGAACGAGCTTCGTCTCGAATATACACCGTGTCTTCGAATCTTATGAACGGCTGCACGGAAACTCGATGTCTCTGAGGTTCACCAAAACATTAGTTCTTCTCTCGACGGCGACTAAAACGATGCCTGTTTGTCGATTTACCATCCCCGTTCATCGCTGCTGGCACGTCAATTATTGCCAATTAAGAGTCGATTAATGAGATATATTTACTATTCTGGTCGTTTGGTTAACTGATGAACCGTAATTAAATCCGGTGGGATGCGCGACGCAACGGAAAGAACCTCTAATATGTAATGGGTGGAATGCCGGTCGAACCGACGATGGAGTAATCCCGGGCGTACGAGACGCACAATTCGTGCGATCGAATAGACGTTTTCTAAACACTGTATATACGTATTAAGCGGGCAAATCCCCTACTCTTTTATTCTCGAATCTATGGTGGGGGATTACTTTTCTTCTTCTTTTCGTCTCCCTCCTTCTTTCGACTCTCACGCCCCTTCGCAGCTAATAAATAAAATATTAAACGATAGTTAATGCAAAGACGTTATTCGAGAACGCGCACGAAAGCGAATACATTCGTTGTATAATCGCCACTAATATACTCGTTCACGCATGACCGTATTGGACAGTGATTTTCATTACTTTACTGTTCTGTTCTTTCCCGTCCTCGATATCTTCATTATAGTTTCCTCGTTTCGAATATAGTTTAGTGTTTTCGGGAAGTGTTTAGTGCCCGTCCGTGCGTTCTCGCCACTAGCACCCGTCTAATGAACCTGCTTCTGTTCCTCCACCGAACGTGAGGGTTGCCGATTGTAACGTTTCCCGGCTGAATCGCAGCTTACCGTTGCCCGATCGCCAAGACATGGTCCAATTACGAAGACAGGTACACTGCAACTTTTACTTCTTTCATTTTTATTCATTTATAAATAAGAAGGGCAGATAGTCTTTTTTTATAAAACTGAAATTATACGAACGTTAGGAATTTGATACGCGACGTTTATACTGTGCGCTAATGTCAGATTAGCAGCGAGGGTACTGGTGTTAAAAATCACGTTGGAGTTACGCGCAATTAAGGTGAAGGAAGCTTTTTAAAAAACTCGGTGCGAAACGGGCGAAAAATTCGACAAATTTCGTAAAAAATCGTGGGAATATCGAGATTTATTCGTTTCAAATACGAATAAGCTGACGCAAGCAATCGTTCGTTCGATATAAGATTCTGTTTACTCGGCTTGAATATTTCGTCAAACTTTTGTAGTTATCTCGTTCTTTCCCTGGTGTGACGTAATACGTATGTGTCTTCTATATGTTTCCAGACCAGATATACGTACGTATAGGAATTGCCTACAAATCTGGTCTGTAAACATGAAGAACCAAGTTCCTGGTAGGGTGACTTGGTTGAACTTCTTCTGTTATTTATTAATATCGCCCCTACTTAGAAGCGATCCGAATACGCAGTAAACTATTGTTAAACGGTAAATGATATTTCTTTTTATTGTATCTTGCCACGATTTCAACGATTGCCACGACATTGAAATAAGTAAATGTATAAAATTACAATTGGTGATTCGTAGCATAATTACTGATACCACGGGCTCGATGTGCTACACAAATTCTGTGCATACACATGTGCATACTGGTATTCGTTTGCACCTGCTAAAGCAACGATTCATCGTTATTTTTCTTCCATGCGTATACTCGAAATTATTATTATTATTATTAATTATTAAATGAGCAAATTGTCTTGGCCAGATTTGTGGAAGCTTCCTGAATCAGCTTCAACCGAACATCAGATGGAGTTCGTCCCTACAGATCAGGGATAAGAAAGTGATACAACCGGAACGTTCCTTCAGGGTATGACAAAGTACTTACGAAGCGAATGCGCTATGATTTTTAAGAACGCACGATTTGAAAACAGTCTGATAAATACGGCTTTAATAAATAGTTTGCAGACCTATCGGTCCGGCTTGCAGGACCGGAACGGTTACAGCCGAAGCCCGACGTAAAGAACCTAACGTTTGGAAAGTATTTCACGGATCATATGTTGAAGATATTTTATCACGAAGCTTTAGGCGGATGGCAAGCGCCAGAGATCGTCCCGTTCGAGAATCTAGTGCTTCACCCGGCTTCGAAAGTGCTTCATTACGCTATACAGGTACGGCCGATCAGTTCTTTACGTTATTCGCTTTAGAGGACCAATTGGGAACGCCGTTTGTCCGCTAAGAGCCAATTACTCTTCAGCTGTTCGAAGGTCTCAAAGCGTTCAGAGGTGTGGATGGAAAGATAAGGATGTTCAGACCAGATATGAACATGAGCAGGATGAACAGCTCCGCGATGAGACTCGGACTACCCACTTTTAGCGGAGAGGAATTGGTCAAATGTTGCAACAGGCTGATCGGTATAGACCAAGAATGGGTACCACATTCCACTGCTTCTAGTCTCTATCTTCGTCCAACGATGATAGGAATAGATGTAAGTGTTCGCCTTCAAAAATGTTAAACTTAGTTACGATCACTTTTACGGGGTGAAGAAATCATCGAAAAGCATATGTTCGTTCCGTGAATCATATCGCGATCAGTTGCAATAATGAATAAAATCGGTCGCGTTACGTCGAGCATACGAACAAACACGTTCTATGTATATATTCGACGAGTAGTGCGATAAGCGCAGAGGTGACGCTCTATGTTGGGGTAGGACCATAAGATGTATAACTGAATCGGTATTTCTAATTTCACACGTACGAAAAGTGCATCGAAGAGACATTTTTATTTGACGGCTGAAACAGTGCGTTCTTCCGTTCGATGATCAAGCAAATAATCCCTTCTTCGTCGAGATCTCGTGCGCACTTATGTTTCTACGAATTCCGATTTCCTGTGCAGCAACGATAACCGATAGCTGATGCAATATCGTTATTAGACACGCTCATTATCAATCGTTATCGATGGATTTGAAAAATTGTCACACGCGTTCATTTAATAATAATCGAATCCTACATTTACGTGCACGCACACCGATCAGTCGCAGCAGCGTAATTGTAAGCGGTGTAGTTATCTGTAAGGAATGAAAGTATACGTGAAAATTCGGATAAATGTAATAATTGTGATTTCTTTATATTTTTGTATAGCCCACTCTTGGCGTTGCGTCTTCAGAGTCCGCTTTACTGTATGTTATTTTATCGCCCGTGGGTTCGTATTTTAAAGCAAGCGAAGCAAAAGATGGTGTGTCTTTACTAGCAGATCCTCGATACACGCGTGCGTGGCCGGGTGGTTGCGGTAACTATAAAGTAGGTAGCAATTACGGTCCTACTATATATGTACAAAGAGAAGCCGTGGAAAGAGGTTTGCAACAGGTGCTCTGGCTCTACGGGGAGGATGACGAGGTGACCGAGGCCGGGACCATGAACATTTTCATGTTCTGTATAAACGACGACGGCGGTACGTGCGCGCGCGCGCCTGCATGTCCAACAGGTCGTTCGAACTCGGAATGAGACCAATATTTTTGTTTCGGAATTTCAGAGAAGGAGCTGATAACGCCGCCTCTAACGAGCAGCTTGATTCTCCCCGGTGTGACGAGGGACTCGATTTTGGGCTTGGCCAGGGAATGGAATCAATTCAAAGTTACCGAAAGGAAGTTCTGTATGAGCGAAGTTTGTCACTTGCTTTCGGAGAACAGGGTGAGATCTCGCTTCCCGTTTCGATTCGTTTCTCTTACAGTCGGACGTTAGAAAGTGTCGAATTTTATTGCAGCTGTTGGAATTGTTCGGCGCCGGTACCGCGTGCATAGTGAGTCCCGTATCTTACGTGGAATATGCTGGGCGATCGTTACATATACCCACGATGACACACTCGAATCCCGTCTATAAAATGTTTCTGAATCGTCTGACCGACATACAATACGGCGTTGTACCGGACCACCCCTGGATGATAACCATCGAATGAGATTCGAACGATCGATTTGGAATATCAATCGTTATCCGTCACCACGGTTCAGCGACTACTATATCTGTTACAATTGATATTATCGATCGTAGTTATACATATTTAAGTATGAGTCGAGGACTCATATACACGTCGTTGTATCTTTACGATCGTTAGATATTTTTAAGCGAGAGGTGTGAATTTGTATTTATTTGAACGTATGATTGATGATCCACGAAGAATGATGAGTAAGTGTATCTGAGATAAAACTCAGGGATTAGTCATTTATACTATTGATAGCAAATTAATTGTTAGATATCGACGGTAAGCTTTAAAAAAAATGAACCCGACGGTTTATACCCGTGAATGCACGCTACGCCAGCGCACGCGACACGTATATTTGACTTGTATACATATATTGGACGACGTACTACTCATGCGTTGGTCTAGGCACGAAATGTATTTACATACAGATTTTGAAAAATAAAGTTAAGAGTAATTTATTTATTTCATTAATTTTTTTAGAATTTCATAAAAATCGATATGTTCTTAGAGAAAAGTCTCTGAGAAGGAATGTTTTCTATACTTCCATATGAGGGGGTAGAAACCCTGTAGATGGTTGATTTTATGCGGTTGTAACGCGATCATCGTTTTCGCAACGCTTGGAAAGCTGATTAAGAGAGCTACTTGAATGAAAAATTAAAAACTGAAACCATAGTATAAGAATTTTCAAACTACTCGCGATATTCCTAACTCGCAACGATGATAATGAATCGAACTAATAATTCAATGCGAAGCACATTCCGAAGGGACAGACAATTCAAAAAGTTTTATTTATTTTTATGATTTATCTATGTTTATTTATTTATTTTATTATCCCATTTTATATTGGGTATAGATATAATACAATCTTATAACTACAATATGACGAAATAAATGAATCGTGTTACTGAGAATTAAGTGACCACTACGAAATGATTAATTGAATAATAACATACCTCAACAGCACTCAATATTGCAGCAACGTTGTAAAAATATTGTACTGCAAAATCGTAATATTTCAAACAATGTTGCTGCAGGATTGCCACAAATGAATTTCTGAAAGTACAAATGGTATATCTATACTCAATCAGCCAAATCTGCAATATAAATTCTTGCCTCTGCTGCGATGGAACTGAACAGACTAGATTCCTACTAAATCGGTCGCTGTGCTACGACGATGGAACCCTTTCGAGCATTTGCCTGTTGGCGCAGCACTTGTACGGGAATCAGGAAATCTCGGGCGTGATCACTCTGCTCGTTGTTTCTGCAATGCTTTGATGGCAGTGTGCCGAACGTAAACAGATGTAAACGCGTGAACGGATCGGAAAATTTGTAACGCGGTCGCGTGTCGCATAGTTTCCCGGTGACGTTTTAGCTCGTGATTTTCGACGCGCCCGATCGCGTTCTATCTCGATGGCAGTTTTGCATCGTGCACTGTTCACGTGGTTCAACCTGCTGATCTTTTTCGTTCTACTCGTCTTGCGACTCGATCAGAGAATACAATGGAACTGGTTCATAGTTTTCATTCCGATGTGGTTGTACGATCACATACTTCTAGTCTATATCGTCTTCAACATGATCTCTCATTGCAAAAAATCGCGCCTCTCTAAACTACCCCGTGAAGTAAGTTAAAACACACGTGTTCTTATTCTATGGTTTCTATAAGTATTCGGCGATGAAACTTGACAACATTTCCAGGAGACTAATCGTAGAAACGGGTTCCTTTCAGATAAGATACATGACGGCCGTGTTCTTGAAATTGAGCGCTCAGATCTTAATATGCTTGAAACTAGAGGCACCGCATTGGTTCCTACCGGCGAAAATAGTTCTGGCGCCCTTTTGGATCCTCCTCCCGGCACTGGCGGTTGACGTGTTCATACATCTGATCGAACATTACCGGTATTAACAATGGCCAAATCACAGTTGATTCGAAAATATTTCAACGAGGGTACATTATTCTGTATATGTAAACTATATAGTCGTACGCATTAGACACCGCCTCACACTTTCACATACCACCGAACTTGCTCTCACCTCGCTTATCCACGAATTTATCACGCGCATTAAAAATAATTTCACAAAAATAATTAAACAGCAAAATACTTCACGATCACGGATCGAATGTTTTATTACAAAATATAATGACTTGCTCGTAGCTACTCGTACACGGATAAAATTGATTCTGTCGATGCTTAGAGCGTCTACGAGCGAACATCAGCTTTTGCTGTACGCTTACTAGCATTCCTCGTAGCTGAAACGATGAAATATGCCTGTGCGCGCCGTTTCGGAGAGTATATTGGACAGATATGCAAGCCAGTTTGGCTCACTATAAATAATCTGTTGCACAACTATGAATAGGACAAAGATATAAATAAGCGACTGTACAGGGGCATCGTTACCGAAATCGTTTTCTCATTACCGTTTAAGATTGTCGTCATTCGCGAGCAGCGAGACGGTAATACTCCTTGGTGTATCTTTTTTTTAAATGTAAAACGAAGGACGGCGGAAGCCTACGCGGGTTCCCGAGACAATTCTCCTCTTCTCGGTTATGCAATCTTTCGTTTCATCGACAAGTGGCTTCTGTTCGTGCATAAAACAATTGTACTGACGAACATCTGTACTCTTTCTCTACTGAAATTCTTGCGTTGGCACGGGTCGGAATTCGTGACGGTTCTATGAGGTCGTGCGTTCGGTGACGAGGAATATTTTGCTAGTTTCAATCGAACTAATTTCTTGACGCGTTCGAATCGCGGCGTTTCTTCTACGTTTCTATTATGAATTAGTTTCGTTCGAACATTCGTTCTCGCAGTGAAAATTATGCGTTTGTGAACTACAAAGATAACTTCGTAGCTATTCACAAAATGGACACGCGACAGGTAGAGTGTTTAAATCTTAAAACGAAAACTCTTAAAATTGTGTTACGTCGTGTTTATTACAAAATGTACAGCTTAAAAGTACGAAATGAAATGTTGAAACGTTGCATTTGTAAGCTTGACGACAATGTGAATCGATGGATTTTCCTCCAACTAATCATGTTCCTGTCTTTATTTTACAGATGAATGCGATCTGTTTTATATGTTTTTGTTTATCGCTGTTGAAAAATGAAGTTAGTGGAGGTATCGTTACGGTAACGGAAGTTCCAGCTGGACATTTAGCTGAGCTTCCTTGCCTGAGCAGCGACGATCATCACCGATTCATGTTCTGGCAGCTCACGGACGATAATCGCATCATCGGACCTGGAAATGCGATGGATGAGAACAAATACAATTACGAGGTGTTAACGGGAAAACTATTTATCCGGGTAATCGACCCTTTCGAGCGATGCGCATTTACTTTCCATAGACGTGTCAGTGTCTTTTCTCTGAATTCTAAATAGGAGAAGTTAATCAGAACGCTTTCTGTCAGGGTGTGTCGTCGGCCGAGTCTGGTTTCTACAAGTGCATTTCGAAAGGTATATACGATACTTCTGCTATCAATATTCACGTCGTCGAGTTGATAGTAAAGAAAGATTGGGAAGACGTCTGGGAAAATGATTTCGAGGTAGGCTCCAACGATCTGTCGAACACGCTTCGATTTGATGTTCGTACTTTTGCTTTCCCATTTGACAAATTTCCGATGTTTCTTGTTTTCAGACAAACTTGTTACGAGGAATGGCCGCCGTTATGGTGATCTTCGTCGCCGTGGCCATCATTCTTTTTATCGTGATAACGAAAAGGGCTAAGAACCGCAGATTTTTCGGTAATAATCGGGTCGTTGCCAGCGTGTAATTTTAAACGCGAGAAGTGCTATACGGTTTGCTGATGTAAAATTGCAGATTTGGAAGAGTCGAGGGAAAATACTCCCACGAGGTATACGCCGAACGTGCACGCGGGTCCAGCAGTGTCGACGATCGAAGAAGAAGGTGGTATCGACAACGCGGCTTTGGACATCGATTTCCCAAGAGTGTTCAAGCAGATGCAGAAGTGACATACAAATTTCTGAATCAAATTTATTTGAATTTCGTTCACGAGTTCAGAGTCGTACACATTTAGATTACAAATATATTTATATATATAAGGGGTATCGTGATCTTATATGTAAATAAGAAAATAGCCTGGGCCTACATAATTTTGAAAGAAAAATTCGTAAGGCAACGATGAAATCTTTACCGTCGTTTGCATGCGTGCGTATTTATTATTTAATACTTACCCTTGTTAGTGAGCACTCGCACTCGTTCCGCGCGTGGTATTCAATATATCGTTCGATCCGTCTTCCTCCTCTTCTTCATCTTCGTCGTCTTCGGGCTCCACTTCGGTTTCCAATAGCCTTATCTTCCTGTTGCTCTCGCTGAGGACGGCAGCCACTTTTCGCGCGCCACTCACTGCTATTCTTCCAGCGGACATACCTTGGAAAGGTCGTGGCCAACCGTTGCCCAAAAGATCGGCCAAGCTCACCGCGTTTTTATCTCGATTCTCAAATATCCGGGCATGATCCAACGGCATCTGTACGAGATACGTCGCGTGGGTATGTTTGTTGAGCAACAACAGACTGAGATATTCGTTCGAGTAAAACTGTAAGTCGACCACCGTGCAGTCTACGTACCCTTTCGAATGGGTTTCTACGTAAAAGGATATTATTAGTTCCGAGAATCGCGATGTTTCTTCAATGATAAAAATGACGCACCTGATCTTTGATCCACTTCCACCGTACCCGAAACGAAGCTGAGAGAGACGGGTTCCGCGCACGTGCATTCCACTTTGAATATTCGCAACAGCTTGCGATCCACATCGCACGTAGCCACCAGGAGAGCGTCATCGTTGGTCGCGATTTGAGATGACTCGAATCCGGTCGACGGTGCCAGACCTATGCTCGACAGGGCGAAGTGTCCGACCAATCCTTGGTAAGCTTCTCGGAAGACGTCGTGCACGGCGGTCACCAGTTTTTCGTGAGATTGCAACAACGAATAGTTGAGATCTTGTTTGATGATGAGCGGATGATCGTGAAGGCAACGGTTCTCGTCGAGCACAGTTGCCCATTCGCTCCCTTCCGGCGTCAAGCAGGTCTGCAAGGACTCTCGCCGCAAGTATTGACCTAATTTCTCCAAGTTCACTCCCTTCCTAGCCCCCACACCGGATTCCGTTTTATCGAACCCGCGTAAGAACTCAGCGATGAACGTCAACTCTTGTTGACTGATTCGACTCGCTTCGGACGGAATTCGTTCGTCCGTCAGTCTCAGGATCACGACGTACAGCCACCTTGAAATATATAAAAAGTAAAAGAATGTTGTACAATGAATTTTGGTATGCGTCGCTTTCAGCCGAAACCTACCGGAAGAACACTTTGTAATCGCGCATACTGTGATCTATCACTTGTTGAATCTCCGAAGATTTTGCCAGGAATGCTTCTGTGGCGTGAAGGCCGTTCGTTATCACGGTTTCGTCCGTGAGACCCAGCAGTTCGTACGGGCCGCCGAATCTCACCATTCCTCTCATCTCGGCTAACTGATAGACCAAAGCCATCCCTACGCTGGTTAAATTCTTTAACACCAGTTTCTGCGAACGCAATGAGAAACGGAAACAATCGCAAACGTAAGATGATGTACGCGGTTAAAAAGGATCTCCGTCTGGTCATACATCAAGGTTTTACCTGTATATTACTGTAACACATCTCGATGCTGTGTCCCAACTTTTTCAGCCCCTTCTCCGTTAAATCGTGCAGCAAAAACTTCTCCAAGTTTTGACTCGGTATGCCGATCATCAACAGTTCTAAGAAATCCGCGGCCATCCCACCGGGCGGATTCGTTTCCGCGTACCGCGCGAGTTTCTCGTCCATCTCCAACAGAATCGTTTCCCACGCCTCGGAAATCGCCATCAGCGTGCGCGAAAGATAGTCCATCAAGTACTCGATGTTCGCTTGGGCTTGAGCTACCTCGAATTTAAACGACGATTAGATGGTACGTTAAAATGAGTAGACTGCTCGTAATATGCGTGATTCGAAGAAGTACCTTCAAGAACGCCGTACTCTGTTCCAACAACGGGCAGCACAGTCTACCGACTTTGATCCCGCTGTCATCCCTGCACGTCGTCCACATCGATTTGTCGGATCCACCACTGATCTCTACTACCCTTCCGTTACCAACAGAAATAATGCCGCAGTAGAACATTCCGAAAACGTACATCGCGACGCGACCATCGTCCAAACCGAGCTAGAGGAAACAAGAATGATTGCCCGTTACACGGCGTCGGTGTCTCATAGCATTTGCTCGGTTAAGAACCTACAAAAAGTATGTCCAGATTTTGAGACAAAAATTCCTTGCATTCCGATTCTTGACCGAAGCTTCTGTTTAAGCTGGGCAAAGGTGGAAGGTATTCCCCTGTCGGCAGCATGCTCGGTTTATTCCCGTTTGGCGAATTACCATCGTCCGTGTTCGATATCGGTAACCACGCCGTGCAAGAAATGGAATCGTACGAAGTCAATTTCGTTTTATGGACAATATTCTTGTTCTCGATGTCCACGAGACACATCGACTTCGAGGTCTCGTAACAGATCGCTAATAGTTTTCCATCTGGCCTCCATGCCAAATTCGCTACAGTGTCGGGCTCCTCTTGTGGACTCAGCAGCCATACTCTCTGCCACGTTAATCTGTGCAACGTGACTTCACCTGTAACAATTATTCCTACTGTAGACATTCTTACTACGCAAGTATTTATTAACAATAATACTGACATTGTGGTAAATGGAATTTTGTTGTGAAGAGAATCAAAAGTATTTTCGACTCTTTATCAAAGAGCAGTACGTACATAGAAAATATAGTTGGTCAAAAATTGTATCTAAAAAATTGTATGTAAAAAACCTTTCGCATTTGCAACGGCTAGGAGATCCATCTTCGGGGACCATTGCATCCTCGTAACTTCCGCTGGAAGCTGACGTTCTTCTAATTGCCTCATACCGCCAGCCATTTCTTGACGTTAATCAATAATACTTTATTAAATAATTGAGAACTGTAGCTCTATGAATATACTCGATGCCGGCTGCCATTCTGCCCGCCATCCAGTCATCCAGTGCAGTGATGGGGATGGGCAGATGGGCACATCGTGGGAATTTTTATAACTAGACGCCTGAGAGCATGCGCGAATGACGTCACAACTAGGGATATCACGTGACCGCAGCTCTTGCATAATGTTCAACTTTTGACAGAATTGGACGCATTACGGAGAAACATTGTTTGTACGTTAAAATAAACTAAACAAATATTAACCATGAACCCGAAGCCCGGAGGTTTAAAAATAAATATAAACGCTGTTATCGGGTTTTCAGTTTTAACAGCGCGCGTGTGAGCTGCCGGGCTGATCAGCTGAAGATCCCTAAACAAATTTTCGTTCGATGTTTTATTTCGAGATCGAAGAGGGAACCGCGGTCCAAGGGGTCCGAGCTGTTACTTACGATGCATAGGACCGTCCCACTAAATCTAATTGGGATGGGACGCTTTTTCGGTTTTGGGAACGAGGCCATCGAAGTTCGGTTCATAATTCTGGAGCAAGCCCGATTTTCGCGCCGTCGCGTCGTAAGGAATCTGGAGGAAATAAGAAACACAATTCGACTGAACACTATTTTTGTTTTGCAACGGTTAAATGCATTTATATTAAAATGACTGATACTTAATACAATGAAATTATATCACTCTCAGTTGTTATTATCTTAAATTTAATGTTCACTTTGTTTTATTACTATTTACCGATGGGTCTTACAAAATTAATAAATAGATAATGAAATTGTGTCTGCAGAAGCAGGCTGGTTTATGGGTTTATAAATAATAGAAAGAATTTATTTTCTATTTCTAAATTAATTTGTAAGAAATTTTGTAAGAGAACGAAGTCCGCCCAAAGCCGAAAGACAAGGGTCAATAAATAATAATAAATGTTTCAGCAGAAGCAGAAACTGTAAAAATTGCATGACCATACGCGTTGTCACGTTGAAAGATACAACAAATTTGAATCGACCTGATTTGATATTTGATCGACAATGGGAATCGGTGCGTTAAAACTGGTTCACCTCAAAACCCGAATAAGTATCCGCGTCTCGACGACGACGTCCGCGTCCACGTGGTTCTCAACCGATGCCCGTGATTCGCGCTACTCGATCCCGCGGGACGTAGTCGTTTTCGAACGGCAGGAAGTCGCGGCAGGATTCGCAACGGCAGGAAGGAGATTGGAGAATCGGTTTCTCGACGGAACGCGATGAAACGTGGTCGAGTGAGTCGGCGTCGACGAAACTGAATAATCGCGAGAGAGACGCGGTACGGCGTTCGAGGAACGGCACTGGCCACGTGACCCGCCAGCAGAAGCCGTCCGCCGAAAATCTAAATTCGTCCGAGCCGAGAGGAAGAGGTGCCACCCGGCCTCCGGGGACTCGAGTCTCGAGAGGACGAAACGCGGCTAGTCGATAATTGGCTTTAGGGTGCACCGGATCGGCACCTGGTCAGGGTAGCGAATCGGACGGACGCGCGCTCGCATCGGTCGCGTGTGCAACGTGCGACAAACCCGTGGGGTACAGACCGGACGACAGGATGATACGTGTCGACGAGACCGACCCAGTGGGTGGTAAGAAACGATACGCGCGGCAGCCTGTTGCTCAGCATCGATTACGCGAGGCCGAAATAATTACGAAACGATCGTTATGAGGTGTAAAATGGATAGTTTTAAGTAGTCACGGTATTTATATTAGAATCGAAAATGTTTGGGGTTCACGAAGGATGGGTTCACTGTCGCCGTCATGTAGAATCGAATAAATGAAATTTGATGAGAGCGAAGCAGTACTTACATTAAAATCGAAAATGTTCGGGGTTGACGAAGACTGGGAGTTGTGGCCGTCACGTAGAATCGAACGGAATTTGAGTACTCGATCGGTGCGAACTGGATTTTATCACGGTTGATGCAGCTGTTTCTCGTTCGGGAAAGTGGACAAGCGCGGAAACGGTGAAATAACAACGAGAAATTGTTTCTTGAAATAAATGGAACAATTTGTCGTATCGAGAGAGAATCTGGAACGCGCAAAGACGTTTACTGATCGCTTCGATAGATCTTGCCGAATCCTCGTGAAATTCAAAGTATAAGTGGATTCTTCTGAAGGGATTCCGTACTCATTTCATATGCACACATACCAAATACGTAACTTCAACTAGCAGCGACCAAAAAGAACTAAAGATGGGGGGAGGGAGAGAGAGAGAGAGAGAGAGAGAGAGAGAGAGAAAGAGAGAACGTATTACATTTTTTATGTATACTGTATATATATGTATGTATGAAGGAAGTCCGGAATCCAGTGAGGCATTCGTGCATACTAACCGACTCACGAGTCTCGTAGCGTGAACCACCACCGGCGCGCATGGTGTCGTATGAAAAGCCGCGTTCGCGAAATGCGGAAAGAATTCCGCTGAGACGACGTATGAAAAGTATGAGTCGCGTTGCCAGCGTCGAGTCATCCCCACGTCCGCGAAAGAGATCGTTTCAACGGCAACGAAAACGGAGAAGCCGTAGATCAGTTCTCTATTTAAACTCGAACTGTTATTGCGCTGCAAAATTATAAACACAGCGCAAACTACAGAGATCGCATAATAATAATGCCAGGCAGAGAGCGTGCATAATACAAAAATTGCTAAATTTATACGCGAGAGAATTCGGTACGTACTGCTCTCCGAATGTCAGATTTCACGAGCTGGCGATGTTCCCTTGCATACATCATCAAAAAATAGACGATCAACGATCCGTCCCGATTTTCCTTTCGCGTACGCGGCTCGTCCGCCTCGTAGAAACGTTTCGGAATCGAGTTTCGGCGCCTGGGCGGCCGGGATGCATAGACCTTCGACGGCTGTTTCGTTCTCTTTCAATTAATTACACTGCACACCATTTTCTTGCAATCGCGATTTTTACAGAGTTAGTATCATGTACAGGGTGTCCCGGGAAAAGTGTTAGAGCCAAAAAGAGGTGATTTTGAAGGTGTTTCTGAACAACAATTTCCTTTGGTAAAATGCGAACGCTCGGCCGTTTAATAATTTACAAACGATGCTTCACTTTGCATTTTGGCAAAGGAAATTATTGCTCAGAAACACTTAGAGAATCATCTCTCTTCGGCTCTAATACTTTTCCTGAGACACCTTTTATAGTCTTGTGCCAACAATGAATTCGGAAGTAGAAATATTCTGCCACGTACCGTTCCCGAAAAACAGCGATTTTTGTAAAAATTCACGATTCGGGGGAAACGAAGTATATGTCGCTCGCTTGCCTTTCGTCGTTTCTAATCCTAATCGAAGATCCTATACATACCCCGACGTTAGTCATTGATTGCGAACGCGTCGCAAAGCAAATTTGGGTCAATACTGATGAAAAATGGCAAATTTTTTTCAGAGATCGAACCGAGCTTTCCCTACAGAAATGTCACCGTACGCCGAGGTGTGGATTTTAAGGATCACTACGACGTCCAGTCGGAGCTGGGACGGTGAGTCGAAGCGAATGAAAAATTTCCATTTCGATTCCGATCGATTTCCATCGCGGTGTGCCTGTAGTTTATTCGCACGGTGGCCTATTTTTATTGTTGACAAACGAACGTTACGTGCCAAGGTCGCTTGATCGGAACGTCGTCGTCCCGTCGTCGAATAGCGATCACATTCTTCGCGTCTCGATCTAACGTTTATAGTACAGACATTGATGGTACAAACAAACAATAGATTAATTTACTTCCAAAAAGATGAGAACAATTGAGAACATATATAAAAGATACGATCCATGGATCACCCATTGAACGTCCAAGCAGAGAAAATGGACCAACTGTGATACCCGGTTTGATTCAATCTCTCAAAATTGAGTAAAGAATTTGGGGTATCACTTAATAAATTATAATTAAACGTCGACGTTGCGTAGAAAACAAAACTTTATTCCAAATCAATAGAACTGAGGTGTGTACATGATAGGATTGAGAATAAGACTGATTAAGGATAAGAGGGTAGGGGTGTATAAAGGTTTCGAAAAATGAACTTTTGATATAAAGAAATAGTGGGGAGAATTGGAGGATGAGGGTGACATGTTATTGATAAGATTAGAAATGAAACAGCTTGAACATTTGGGTTTATAACAGAACGAAAAAGAAACCTCGACGCGTTTATTCCTTCCGGCGGAGAACGTAGGAACGTAGTAGGTATTCCTGTCTCGTACGCGTCGTAATCTTTTAGTTACACGCGTTCGCCGTTATGAACGAGACTGCGGTCTTCAATGATTTTTACGCGCGAACCGCGAGCTGTCAAAACGTTTGTTTTTTCGCGTGGTTCTTCGTAAATCCTACGTTACTCGTGTTACGAGAAACATATATTTTGTACAACAAAATATATTTAGAAAAAAATATCCGTGGTCCATCGTGGAAGGATCGAGACGCGTTTCAAACGACGAAATTCGAAGGGTAGATTTTTATTTTTAATCCCGATCGAATACCAAGACACAATAGCGATCGTGCGTTCGCTGCGAATAAAAGAATCGAACGGTGGATCGGTGCCAAGGGTAAGAGCCGAATGTCAATGACGAACTATTAGCGAACCATCGATCCGAAAGGCGAAAGGTCGTCACCGATCGAGCGTCGACGAAAGAGCCAACGTCGCCAGATTTCCCATTTCCAGCGCAGGACTGATATGAAAAATCCCTCACGACTCGTTTCTTCTCTTTTCCTTTGATATTTATACGTCAGGAACCTCCCATTTCAATATTTTACACTTGTTTTGAGACAACATGTAGATATGCAATAAGCAGTTGAGAACTGAGATTGAGAACTGAGAAACGACTATAAATTCGGGCCTCAGTCAAAGCAATTATTAAAACCACTTTTTGTCGTATTTGCTTCATTTATTTATGTATTTATTTATCCACGGGCTTCGGCGGCTCTTTGGTGTACATGACGCATAAAGAGTAGAAATAACAGTAGAGTTTACATAGTTGAAATAGCGCAAGTGAGTTGAGTCTGGTCGGCAAGTTTATTTGACTGTTATGTTAAAGTTATAGAAAAATACGTCGATCGGTAGAAATTGGGACGTTTACCTTATTACTATAAACCGATGAAACTATTTCATTCATCGATTCACACTCGACGTTTCGATTTGCGAATTTCTAAGAAACGCCCACGACCGCGAATCATTGACCCAACGTCGGGTTTCCCTAACGACGTGAGAGACCAGTTTCGCGATCGTAAATCATATTTTTCGATTAAGCCGAGTCATTTTCGTCATCGCGAATCGCCGTCGAATTGGCCGTTCTCCATCGAGGCTCATTACTATCAAGAGTACACTCGCGGTTCGACGTGAATCATTGCCGATATAGCGATCTTGAAGATGAACGTTGCGTGAATGGCGATGTACATATGTATATGATCCTAATTATAAGCGTTGATTTGGTAAACGTTGGAAAATAAAATTAAACAGCATCGACGACGCTGTGACGCAAGTCGACGGAAGAATTGTCTTCTCGTGAAGAGTACCGCGAATGACACGTTGGCCAGATATTTGCCAGATTTCTTTGGTCTTTCGGTACCGTCAGTGCTCGGGTCGATCTTCGAACAATTCGATAACGGCGACGGTATGCGGCGTATGCACGGAGCCGGCGCGCAGCGTTGCACGGAATTCGAGCGTTCGACGTCTAATCAAGGTCTTCGCGCGTCTATAAATAATGCGTTTTTCCCGTCGAGCAGTCGGACAGCCGGCTACGGCGTCCCGTGAGTCTCGACTCGACGCAAGAATTTCACCGAATCATTGATAAACGCGGCACGGTTCTTTCTCCCGAGAGGCTTTCCCAATACGTTACGTATTTATAGGGGGAAATATGCGGGTCTCTTGGCAAGATCCGCAGGATAAATATGAAAGATCGAACCCGCTCTAAACCGTTTCGCTTCGCGCTCGTTGTTTGGCACAGTGAGACGAGACCGGACGAGATAAACTCGGGGACCGCGATCGTCGCAGCTTGGGACAATGACTCTCGACCCGTTTTTGATCGTGAAAATTTTCGCCAGAGAGACAAGACTCAAAAATAGTAATAAACCTGTATATGCCACAGTTTTCAAGTTAATCGATGTGAATTTTGTCACGTAGCGTATAATAGTAGGTAATTAAAATGTGAACGAGGCGAGGGAAAGTATCGTGGACGATAAACGTGAAACGAGATCGTTCCTATTTGCAGAGGAAAATTTGGCACCGTCTACCGATGCAAGGAGAAAGCGAGCGGTCTGATGCTCGCCGCGAAGGTGGTGAACACCGCGAAGAAGGAGGACAGACGGGCCGTGGAGCGAGAGGTAGAAATTATGAGGCGGCTGCAGCACCCGCGACTTATTCAGCTGTACGACGCCATCGACACCGGCAAACAGATATACGTTATTCTGGAACTGTAATTTTTAACGTCGATACCATGAACCTATGCGTTGCCTCGATCGCGATCGAACTGGTACACGGTCTGCTCTTGTGTTTGTTCAAGGATCGAGGGTGGCGAGCTGTTCGAGAGGGTGATAGACGACGATTTCGTGTTGACCGAGCGCAGCTGCGCCGTTTTCATGCGACAAATCTGCGAGGGCATAGAATTCGTTCACCGGCAACACATTCTGCATCTCGACTTGAAGGTATCGTTCTTGCCGTCGATACAATACATATGACTAAACATATACATATGAGGAAAAATTCTCTAAAACGTATCTGACGCGATTATTATTATAATAATATTTTATTTCACGGGCAAAGCCCATTATAACATACATAATATAGCAAAAATAATGGACATAGGATAAACTAAAAAGGGAAAGAAAAGAAGAGAGGAACATATATAAAATTCTAAATAAGTATAACAAAAGAGACGAAATGAATCAGAAACGAATTAAAACTAGAACTAACAAATCAATTATTAGTTCTTTAACTTTATTAACCGGTAGAACCCTTTCGTTTCCGAAAGGCCTATAGAAAAGTCGATAAATAAAGGTTGGTACGTCGTACCGATTTATCAAAGAAATATGAGAACGAAATACGGACACGAAATGAAAATGGGACGAACTATATAGAAGCAAAATTTTAATCGCTCGAAGCACATCGCGAATTCTCTCGAGTCGACGGTACAGCCTCGGGCAGTTTCTTTTCCCTTCGTCCACTTTTGTCTCCTGTGTGCCCTTTGTGACGCTACGCGCGATTCTTTATTTTTCGTAGCCCGAAAACATCCTCTGTCTGACGAAGGAAGGCAACAGAATCAAGATCATAGACTTCGGGCTCGCGAGGGAGTACGACCCAAAGAAGAAGCTGCAGGTTCTGTTCGGCACTCCGGAGTTCGTCGCGCCGGAAGTCGTAAATTTCGATCAGATCGGCTACGGTACCGACATGTGGAGCATAGGCGTCATCTGCTATGTATTGCAAGTCGTCTAATCGTCATTTTCTCCGTCTCGTTCCACGAAAGAGGACATAAACGTTTCGCCCTTTCGTCGAACGCTTCTCGAACAGCGCAGTAAGAGAATCTAACGAATCGCGTGATTTTCTCTGTTCAGACTATCCGGCTTGTCGCCGTTCATGGGTGACACGGACATCGAGACGATGGCGAACGTGACGATCGCCAAGTACGATTTCGATCACGACGCCTTCGCCGAGATCTCAGAGGACGCGAAAGACTTCATCCAATGTCTGCTGGTGAAAGACAAAGAGTACGTATAGCTCGTCGTTCCCGCGAAAGATCGCACGATGGCGAAACGATTTCTAACTATCACTTTTGCTAAGCGTTAAAAACTAACGAGCTGCAAATTTCAGACAAAACGATCTTCCACTAATGCATCTTTCGTTGTCGATTCTTCTTCTTTTTCTTCTTCCTTTTATTTTGCATCTTCTTCGCTCTGTCTGGACCGCTGCTTTGGCGCCTTGGTCGTTTCTGTTTCACGATTACTTTTCGACTTTCTCTCTCTCCCTTTACGCCCGATTAATCCCGAGCATGCTTTCTCAATCTTCTCGAAACGGCGAGAAGTATACCGCGTGTCATCTCTACTCAACTAATCGCAAGTAAATCGTAGTTTCGATTGCCGCGAACGATCGTGCGTATAGTAAACGCCCCAATTTCTACTCACTGACTTCTGATTACACATTTATTCATTTATTTATACACCGGGCAAATGCTCTTTCATGAAATTCGTACGTAGTTAAACATGTGCTCTAACAATAATAGGTAAAATGAAAGCTATCTTAAGAGTAAATAATGGATAGGAGCAGACTAAACTCCATCGCGTGGGGTGCCATTGCGGCGAGCAAGAGAGAAATGGCAGACTCAGAAACTAGAGTAATCTAAGATTGGACGCATATAACACGATAGAAAATAAAACCAGTGAGTAGGAATTGTTACGTGAACAAAAATTGAGACAAAGTATGTCTCGCCGAATCTTTCACGCGACGCGAGCATCGAATATCGAGGAACGAACGAACAAATTCCGAACGGCCTCCTTTAGTTCGTCGACCCGCCACCGCTGATCCTAGAAAAGAAAATGAAAAACCGAGCATCCGGACGTTGTCAAGGCAACGAATATCACCCATAGAGTCTGGCTCTCCGTTGTTCTCCATCCGAACTCCATCGAACGAACGTCTGCATCTCCCCGTCACCTGACCCTCCCCGAAACGAATGCACGCGGGAAACCGAGTAAATTCGTTGTCAACAGAGAGAACGAACGAGGTTACGAGAGAAAGAGAGAGAGAGAGAGAGAGAGAAAAGAACTCGCGCGGAGGTGTCGCTCACGAAGGAGCCTGTCGAATCTTTCAGCAAACGGATGTCCGCGTCGCAGTGCAAGGAGCATCGTTGGTTGGCGAAGAGGCAGACCAAGCAGCAACAGCAAAGGATCAACCAGGCGGTCCTGTCGTCGACGCGAAGCCGTGAGATCCCTCGGTTGCGAACGAGCCACGTCGACGAGTTGGACGTGACCAAGGACAATCTGAGGCTGTTCGTGGAACGCTGGCGAGAGCATCCGGACAGCCCGTACCTGATCGAAGTTCCGCGCGAGCAACAAACAACGTACAAACTGGCTCGACCGACCGAAGAACTGGCTTCATTGAGGGGACACAGCCCGTCGCCATGCGCCAGCATCTGCAGCACGCAGTCCGAGACCACCGAGAGTTCGCCCCGGGAAAGCCACCACGGCTCGTTCCTCACCGTGCCCGGCTTCGAGAGGAGAGCGTCCGAGGGGGTGGCCATGGAGAAGTCGAGGAGCGATCCAGCTAGTCAGATCCTCCTGGCCGAGGAGATAATCAAATTGTCGGAACGGCTGCGGTCTATAGCGACGGGAACTCGCGTCGACTCGAACGAGAGCGACGCGTTCGCGGAGAGTAAAAAGAAGCTCGAGGAGAAAGACGAGACCAAGGGCAAACGTGTCGTTAACGGATCGGTCGTCGAAGAGTGCAACGAGATCACCGAGAAATTGTCGAGCATAGCGCGGCACAGAAAGCTGAACGGAACGACGTTTCACAGCAGTCGCAGTTTCGAGAGGCGAACGAGCTTCGAGGCGAAAGCCGAGAACGCGTTCGACTCGTTCAAGAAGAGTGGACGCAAGAAGAAGAGGGAGGAGGGAAACGATCGAGGGGAGACTGGTGAGAAGCTCCTCGAGAAGGCGAGAAAGGAGGCTGAGATAGATCTGACGCCGCCCTGGAGACGAGCGCGGGTGAAACAGTTCGGGGAGACCAGCAGGGACGTGCCGCGAATATCCGAGCTGCGTAACATGCACAAGAGTCTGAATCTCGACGAACCGACCAGCACCAAGAATCTATTGCTCCATCTGCTCGGTGAATGGGAGGAGGTCGCCTCGAGACCCTCGGGTGGCGTCGGTAGAAAGTCGGTGAGCGTCGACTGGTGCGGCGATGAAGTGGCCAGGAAGACGATGAACTCTCTCGCCGAGTATTTCCAATCGATGCAACGGAAGTCGACGGCGGCGAACGTCGCGTCGACCGCGTCGAGCTCGATACATCGTTGAAACGATTTGTCCGGTCAACGGTCGGATCAACTGCGTGGGACCCGCGAACGTACGATCGCGGTCGAGACGGAACCGGAAGGGCTCGCGAGGACTGTTTTCCGAGGCTCGAGCTGTGCTCGTCGTTACGCGCGTCTTCGGCGAATATGGTTCGAATCTGAGCATCCACGAGTTCCCGTTATGTGTGCGTGCCGTGAAATTTGTTATGTTCGATCGGGTGAAAGAATTGATAATTAAAGTATTTCGACGATCGAAGAACTTTTCTTTTTACCGTGTGAACACACGTGTGTACGTACGTACACGTGCGATGTCCTGCTCCCAACTTTTTAACTATATCTTCGATCGTTTGTACGCGACGTAGAATTTATTATAAAAATCACGCGCGGAACACGTCGGTTTTATCGACGGACCGGCCGAGTGGCTGGAATAGGATTCGAACGAGCGGATCGCATCCAGAGACGTGATGAATTATTTTGCTCCAGGAAAAGACCGACGGCTGGTCAACTGTTGGAACATCGGTGGCTGGAAGTGGCGTTGGAAAACCCGATCTGTAAAAACAGATTAAAGCGGTACGTCGTGAAGAAGAGATGGATCAAAGCGGTCAACACCATACTAGCGTTGAAACGAATGGGCGCACATTTAGATTTCGACGCGGCCGAATAGTTCGCTAGAAGGCGGAGTAGAAGGCGGATCAACGTGTTTACGTTAGACATCGACGTTTGTTCGAGTATAAAAGAATGTGATTTTTCACTAGAGTCAGAGATTAACCGCGCACACATGTAAAGTATTATTTTTTTTATCGCCAAGACTCGACCGTCGGAACGGAATTCAGGCGACGACGCGACGTTTTGGTTTAGAAGCTTGCCACACATTTTTCCAGTAGGCGAACGCGTAGATTTTCCGTTCACACTTTTTTCGATCCATATAAAAGTTTTGCAAACGATGACAGTATTACATAAAACAATGTCGGCGCGATAAAAATAATTCCACGCAACGGAAAGAATATACACATATATCAAAGATAATTGTAAGAATAGTTGTAAAATGACAGTCGGACATCGAAGAAATTACTAATATACACGCTGTATAGATTTCTAATACATTTAAGATACTCGCTTTTACCCGCGTGTATCTACGAGGTAGGTAAATGCACGTGGAAGGTACGTACGATAATAATTCTATTGCGCGAACCTCGTCGTTATTTGCAGATTTACGATCCGCTATTTTCTTTGCGCACAGATACAGTAAATGCTACCATTTCTGCTCACTGCCTTAAGATTCCATACGAGATTACAAAAAAAGGAGTCAGTGATTAGAAATTGGGACTGTTTCCGTGTTTGTTGTTCACCGTCCATCCGCGATTCAATCGAGTTTAAAAGGTCGGCATTGACGCCACAGCGAATTAAACGCGCGTTCCATTTGGACGCAAGCAATTTCATGCCGTGAAATGTTGCGAGGCTCGTGGCTCGCGCGTCACGGAATAGAAATTCGTATTATGTAAATAAGCGCGTGTAGCACTGCGGGGCGGGGTCGCATCGTTGTGTCTTTAAATAAAGTCTTCTACGGTATCGGTATTGTATGTACGCGACGGTACGCAATCTCCCGCGTCATATTTATAGCCGTCGTCGTAGGCCTCCACCTGTTGTCAAACGTCTCTTGCCCCTAATCGTGACTGTTGCTTTTTGCTCAGGCGACAGTCACGAGCCAAGGGCGAACCATGGACGAAATTGATAGAATTTGTACATTAAAAATACCGATTATACGTATGCACATGTGTAATAAAAACGTATCTAAATAATATAATTAGCTCGTTTGCATGTTGTATGTACATTTACAGGCGGAAGACGCAGCGCTTAAAACTTGGGTCTTTTTGTACGTGGAGATCTTCGAGATCGTACATTTTAATTAAGAATCGTAAACTATGGACGTGAATTAAAATTCGGTATGTGAATCGGTAACAGTAGTAAAAATACGGTATGTCAATTTGCTTTTAACGAAGACACCTTCTCTTTTAAGAGTTTCATCGTCTCGTCCTCACCGTTCGTACAAGTAGAAACCCTCGATGTAGAAAGTTTGCGAACGTGTCAGGTTTTTGGTTTTCATACAGATAGCGCCAGCGTTCAGTCACGCACATACTTCCAGTGGTAAACCAAACCATTTTGAGACCAACGAGACCAACGTTGACTGCTTTCTGCCCGTTCTGCTGCGTTCGCATAGACCACAAAGATGTAGATCGCGCATCGTGGATTGGACTGTGAAATGTTTACGTTTGTCTCACACTAAAAATGTGTGTAATATTCCTGACGTAAGGAATTGTCTCTGAACAACAGTTGTATTTGAATCATAATAGAATCTTGTGTCTACGTTTGTACGCGATTGAACGACGATTATTAATTTCGCTGGACATCGAGATTTATATGGATGATGGTGAGTAAACGATGTCGTACGATGTTAATAAAATCGTTATAGTCTTAGTTTCATCTTAACTTGTACGTCGTTCAACGAATCGTTTGGATATTTGTGAAGGTTATGTTTACTCAAAAACCTAACCTGACATTCGTTGGTATCTCGATATTTCAGGCTGATGCATTGCAGAAATGGAGCCCATACGCGAAAGAATATTATCCTTTGAAAGCGGGTAGCATCGATGGTACGGACACGGAACCACACGACAAAGCTATCAGCCGGGCGATACAGGCGCGTTATGAACCGCCTCGCGGAATTAAATCAAAGCCGGAAAGAACGTTGTTCGTTGCCAGATTCGGCCCAAAAATCACCAAACATGATTTGAAAGAGGTAAAACAATAATAAGCGTTGTTGTCTCGGTTTAGCTAATTTCGCACATATACACCGAACAGATTTAAGACGATCAGGGATTCAGTTCTTTTCCAGGTACGGAGATGTTATATCAGCAAAAGTTATGGTCGACATCGTAACCGGTCTGTCCCAATGCTATGGATTCGTAGAAATGAGAAGCGAAGATGACGCTAAACGAGCGCTCAGACGTTGCGTTGATGTCACTTTGAAGGCGATTACGAATGTGGCCGAACGATGAAAGGATGGAAACCAAGGAGACTCGGTAAGTCGAAGTTCGAACATTTTTAATACTACTGAGAATGAGTATGGGCAAAATATTGAGCTATTTATTGATTAGTATAATTATGTCATATTTTTGAAAGTACATAATTTTGAAAGTCATGAGATTTATTGCCTTTCGAGCTGCTCTGGTTGCGATACTTAAGTGCCCAGTTCTAGAAGTGAATCTATCAACATAAAACCGTTGACCGGTCTTAGACAGCATGAGAGCGTATAAAGTTTATAAAATCGATTTAACAATTATATTTATGTGATCGGATTGTATATTTGCAGGCGGCGGTTTCGGTGGCAGAAAGGAGTCGGGACAGCTCAGGTTCGGCGGAAAGGACAGACCTTTTAAAAAACCGATTGTGCCGAATATTGTGAGGAACGACAGTCAGGAGCACTCTCGGCATCAGGAATCGTCGAGAGAGGATCATCGTCATGGTCATCGTCATCACTACCATCATCGTCATTAAAAAACGAGCCGATCTACGCGACAATTTGTAATATAGAACATTTTCATTAGCATGTTTGTGGATTCGTTTACGAATTCTGCAACATCGATTTCGATCCAATGTAAATATTTAAGAGACTGGCGTACCTCTTAAACGGTTTGGAGCTAGCGCGCGTTACGAAACGCTTTGCTATTATTAAATCTTTGTTTGCCTCAAACGTTGACACGAGAAACTTGTTTATCTCGTAAATGTCGCTCGTATCGAGCGTGGATAAATTAAATATATTTTTTATTTTTGAACAAACCTTATTACTATTTTACGAATCATCCCCTTTCTCGTAAGACTCTGCCATACAAATCTATTTCCTTTCCCATCGAGCGTGTAGCGTTCGATACACTATTTGGCTCCTTGTACACGATACATCATTTGGAAAAATACAAGTTTTTTTCGTCTTCGAAATTCGTTACAGCTATCGAACGTGATAAAGTTGAGATATTGGGATACAGAATGTAGCGCGGAACTATGGATCCGTGGCATTTGGATGAATAAAATTAATCGGAATCAAGTCGTTAACCAAGGCGTGTTGGCTATTAAATAAGAGGGCCGGTGTATTTGTTGAAACGGTAATCGGTATCGTCTAACTCTGACCGAACTCGATGCTAGAGGCTCGTACGCCAGGAGCATTCAGAGCTGGCTTTTCAGGGATATTCAAAAATAGTTGGAATCTCGCGTTAAAGTCCGAGTAGAAGGTTGACTCCTGGGAGGTGTGGGCGTATGAGAAACGAGCAGGTATTAAATTAAGGGGAACGCCGGCGTCGCGCGCCTCATTTAATTGCGGGAGGACCCGAAGGGAGTACGAAACGATTTCGGTGGTTTCTGGCGCGGTACGAAGCGACGCCGTCGACGTCGCGGAACTTTATATCGGAGCGTCACGGCGCCCTCTCCCCGAGGCAGCCCCCTCCATATATGGAGCCGCCTCGTGGTTGCTTCGGCCACGCGGATAGCCTCAGCCTCCAGGCTTGCGAGCATCAACGTCGAGCCGCTGCCTCCTTCTTCGACTCGTTCCGCTCCCTGTGCCTTGTCCACCGCGGTCGTCAAGGTCTCGAAGGGACGTCCTATGTACCTACTTGGATCCGTTCGTTCGTCGCACGAACGTTCCTTGCCAGTTTTCTCATTTCTAAACGCAACTGAGGGCTACCAGTATTACGCGATGAGGATCGCTACGACTCTGGTAGCTACCCAGCTGTTTCGATGCCGAAGTGAAGGATTTCCTCATCCAATTTAAGGGAGTTTACTTGATAATTGAATTAACGATAAGATGTAGCTAAAATTTTACATGGGCTATTATATTTATTTATTATACTATATTAGATATTTTACATCGACTGTATTGACGAGTATCTAAACAATCAACGATAAAACTTACTTTTTGTTTTGTGTAGAATTAAACTAATATTTGAAGAATACATACGTATTTTTATAATAATCATTCATGATTTCTGACACTGGCAATAGAAGAAAGTTAATAAAAAAAATTGTGCTCTTGGGGCAAGCAAATCAACCTCTGATGAAATATGGCAACGTCGCACTCATTCTTTGTATAACAATATGTCGATGAAAATTCATTTTCTCATACGACTCTGTATAAAAGTCGCAAATTCTTGAAAACATTATATCTCGGTTATAAAGCAATGAAGAGCCTCGAAATTTTTACACAAACTTTTTATATGCAAACGAAAATCCATGTAAAATTTTAGCTAAATCTTGTCGTTAATTATCAAGTAAACTCCCTTAAATTCCCTTGCGCGCGGTAATGGGATTTTTGTAGAAGGAATAACGACCACGAAAATGTAACCGCGTTGCGTGCACTATCGCGATAGTCCGTGTATTAATAAGCGGACCACGTACCGTACGTACTCCGTGAGATTTTATTTCGAACCGTCTCATTTTTCATTTGAGAAATCGGACGGTTTATCGTACGAAGAGATGGTATGTAGATAGCGTCAGTGAGTATTTTCATTTCGCGAACCTTTTTCTAGGACTACGGTTCTATACATATGTATGAGCGCATATGCGATCTGCAGAACGACCGAAATTCTCTTCTCTTCTCTACGCATACTTTCGTTACATAAAAGAATTTTCAATTTTCAACCACCGAATGCTTTCCTCTTCTTCCCTGGAATATGCGATTTTCGTTTTCTCATTAATCGAGATTCCAGGCATGAGTGATGATCCCCGATGAACTCGATCCGTCGACCTATTAAAATATTAGAAGCGACCCGTGGCGAACGCGGGAGGAAGAAGAGGAAAGAGCGAAAAAGGATTGGAAACGCCAAATCGAGTTATCGAGAGTTCGGCCGTGCCTCTTCGAATCGGATCCTCGCGCCGCGACTATTCGCGGGGGCGGAAACCGAGCGGTCCATAGGCCATAGGCGGACGGAAGGAGCACCGGAACACGGGAGAGCGCAGGGTGGCCGCGTGATGCCGTGGCCGCGTACGAGATACAGAAGTTGAGAAGAGAGACGAAAATAGTAGCGCGGCAGGATCGTATTCACGCTCGCGCCCCTCGGAGTGGTTCGGATCTGCTCGTCCGCTATTAATAGTCGAAAACGAAAGGGAGCGAGTCGCGAGATTCCGAATCGGACGACGGAGTCTTGGTGGTGTCCGAGTCCCGTTCAAGACACTTCAGAGCCGCTCGAGCTGTCGCGGACTCCACATTCCACCGGCAAAAGCTCTTCCGTGCGCGCCCGTTGGAAGTTGCAAGCATCCACTGTTGTTTGCTCGGCTGGTGCCCCGAGGCGAACCCTCGTACGACGCGCCGTTTACACGCACCCACCCGCACACCACATTGCCACACACACAGATCCACGTCACACCGTTCGAGTGTAAGTTCCCAAATAATACAATATTTCGGCCGTGGCCCGCGCTCGTAACCGGATATTATTATCGATTCGTCAGAGTGTTCGTGGCAAATGCGTACGTAGGCGAACGTATCTCCGCTCGGTGGTGCCTGCTCGGTGCGATCGAGCCTCGTTTATGGGACCTCGCTTCAGGAACTGCAGTGTTTCCTTTGCTCGAACGACTAGTCTTCGATTCGTAAGTGGGCTTCCGAGATAGAGTGAGGAACGTCGAGTGCCCGCGACAGTGGGGATGAAAAGTGTACGCTCGACCTTGAGCGGGCATCACCGACCGTATCGTCGATTTTCATTCGTCTCAACATATTCGAGTTCCAGTGATATCGATCAAACATCGGACGCGATCGTAAACGTAAACATTCTCGGCTTCGTTCTCGATCTCTGTGCGTAACGAAAAAGGGGGGTACGCGTGTCACCTAGCAACGATTCGTCGAAATCGCGTGTGAAAGTGAAAGAGTCCGTAGAAAGACAAAGTCGTTGGAAGAAAGAAGCGTCGAGCGATAGATTACCTCGGGTAAACCTCGTCTCGATGGGATCGTGTACGATCGGTAAACGAAGAATGGGTAAAGGTATCCGAGTTACGAGCGGCGAGACGGTCTGACCATTCAGCGACTCGTTCTACTAGCGCGGCAACCGTTCCTCGTAAAGTCAGAATGGAAAGTTTGAGGACGACGAAAAGAAAAGCGTGAGAGAAGAATAACTCGACGAATTCGGTCATTTCTCTCGTTCGATGATACAAGAGTAGAAAACCAAGTCGAAAAATCAGACTCTCACGGTCGACCGAGCATCGAGCGTATCCACGTGGTCTTCGATGAAATCTGTTGACCGTATTTAACGAAAGGACGTTGAATATCGTGGAACAATCTAAAAGAGGACAATCCGACCGTTATTTCCGTTGTTCGAACGCGGCGGGTCGAACGACACGGATATAGAATCGCGTCGGCGCCGCGATAACTCATCGTCTATAAATGCCCGTCGAATATCTCGTTTCCAGATATTCGAGGGTGACGCGTGCAATTATGTAACGTCGTTCGCTCCCACGCCTCGCGTCAGCCCGCGCGACGCGTAAACGTTGGCTGATCACAAAATCGTCGCGTCGAGCCAGTCCTCCGAGGTCGCGTCGCGGCTTCCTTCCGATTTCGAACGTCGCTCTTGGGATTTATCTTTGGTAGCGTGAAAAATTACCGATCGATCGACTAATGTTTCCTGAGTGAAAATATAACGCGGCGAGGGAAGAGAGTCGACGGGCGAAAGAATGCGAGCCTAGGTTTACGAAGACGAGATCGAGGAACTTGTACGCGGAAGGAGGGAATCGAAGGGAGAGAGGAAGAAAGGAGAAGGCGATGAACGAAAGGAAGAGAGAGAGAGAGAGAGAGAGAGAGAGAGAGAGAGAGAGAAGAGCGCGGAGACGATTCTCTAAAATTAGAACATTAGAGGAAGAGAAGGGGATGGCTCCTTATAGAGCTTGGGACGCCGAGCTTGCGGCCAGGGTTAGCAAACCGGCGCTCTCTTTCTCGCCTCCGAATATCGGGTTACACACCTTTGCACCGGCCGACCGGTCGTCAACCAGTGCATCGTCTCGCGCCCCTTCGACTTCTTCCTTTATTTTCCAGCTTCCTCTTTCTCGCGGCCGACCAAGGTTCGATTCACGCTCGACGATACATACTCTGTCCGTCCTCGTCCGCAACGCGGAGTTTGTTCATCGAATATTTTATAGGACGACCGCCAGCCAGCGTAGACCGTTGCGTTCGTCGACGAAGAAGGGACGATCGGATCGTTGCGCTCTTCGTCTCTACCACTTTTTTCTTCATTCGTCCTTTAATCGAGATTCGGCGAGCTCTCGAAACGGAGTGAAGAATATTCGATTCGATCGTCCCCTCTTTCCCTCGTTCCGAGAGGGAGACGCGACGACAGGAAGATCCAACCGAGACGATCGTTAATCGGTGATTCGTTTACGTGTTTCAGCGCAGCTTAACCACCGGCAAACATGTCTGACGACGAGGAACAATACTCGTAAGTATTTCCGAATTGGTCGCGTCGAAAGTATACGATTCTTCGGACAGTTCGCGCGTCTCGACGTTCGTCCGTCCAGAACGACGGGCGAGCACCAACGCGCTCGTCCCGAGACGTCGCACCCTTCGTCGACGGTGTGAGCCGTCTCGGTCGAACGTCGAGCACGCGGCTCGTAATTCGTAAGTTTTGTACGCGATCGAGCGTAACGCGAATGCGTAGCCCGTCGAAGCGTAGTCGAACGGATAGATCGCGTCCAACCTTTCTCAGCGTCGATTTGCAGGGTCGAGAAATCGCTCGACGTTTCCGACGATCCCTGCATAACTCGAAGATTACCGAGATAGCCCCCGAAACGTCGCTCGTTGTCGCGGCACGAGCGAAACGTCCGACGAAATAACACCATCGTGAGTCCACGTAAGAGGAACAAGAAAAACAATTGTCTCCGTGTATCTGTCGATAAATCTCTCCGTCGTTGAATCGATGCACGCAATCCCCCCCTTCCAGCCCCGAGCATCCGAGTCTCGTTACGAAAATAAAACGACCCTACACAAGCCCCGAAACGAATTAACGAACGCTGCGCGTCGCCCCCTCGATCGGATCGCCTGCTAAAACTGTTTCTTCCGTTCCACGTATTTTCTTTCCGTTCGTTTATCGAGACCGAAGTTACTCAGCGATGAAACGGATTCTCGCTGGCCGAAGAGTCCGTTTATTTTTCGAAACGAAGAAACTGGCTCACGGCACGTGTCCTATGGTACGTGTATCGCAGGCATGGGCAATTCATTTTTCCTCACACTAGTCGCTCTCCCTAATATTTGTAAATGTAGATATGCACCTGTATATTACATAGAGTCAAGCATCTCTACTTTAGCTTGCGCTCAAGGCCTTGTGTCTTGAGAGACACTTTTGCCCATGCCTGATGTATCGGGTCCGTTCGGTAGCTGGTTAGACACGTTTACGTATACGCGTACGCGACTAATTCGTTTTTGGCATCCGTCGCGTACGTTCTTCGAGGGAAGTGGGAAAGGCATTTTTGGCGGGCGACCGAGCGAAAGCCCCCCCTCCCCACGACCCTGCCCTTTGAACCCCGACCCCGTTTACGTTCCGAGATTGATACGGCCCCGGCAGTACGTTCACCCCTTACGTGTCCATTCGCTAACAAATATCTTTTTTCCATTTTCTGTTTTGTAGCAGCGAGGAGGAGGTGGTCGAGGAAACGTAAGTGTCGCCCTTTAATCCCCCGAGTCCCAGTGATCGTCCCCACAAAATACTACTAACGTCCACGTTCTCTCATTTTCTCATTCCAGGAAGTAAGTTCCAGAACCGTGTCTGCGTTTAGGTGGCTGCTACCGCCGCGCGCTCACCGGGGAGTCGTAGTTCTCGTTTTCCCGATCTCGGTTCCAGGCTTTACGTCGCTCAGTCTCCTTTAGCGGAACTCCCGGCGCTGTTCTCGCGTTCGCGATCGTCACGCTTTTTCCCCGATACAGCTTTTTTTTTTCTCACGTTCCAAACTCGAGAGTTCAGATCGTAGTAGACTAGACTGGTACAAGAGGCTTCTCGACGATGTAGCTCGCATACTTTTCAGCTTGTCGAGAGAGATTTCCGGATCGGTTCCTCGCGTCCTCGCGAAAACCGTTTAAGCGTCGAACGTGCTCGTCGCGGCACCGAAACGAACGCTCGGTACACGCGGCTCGTGTTACTAAGATCGTGATCCGAGGCGCGCGCGGCCCGAAACGATAAACGGGAACTCGGTCGAATTTAGAACGCTTCTTTTTACGAAAATAGTATAGAGTATGGAGCGTATTCTGTACCCGCGACGACGCCGTCTGCTTGCCTTGGACGCTATTTACAATTGTGTAGCTTAGAATTTTCGTTGTCCGCGGCGATTGCGAAATTCGTCTCGGCTCGACGCCTCGCACTTTGGATCTCGGGCGAACAGACTCGACGTATCCGAGGACGGAATCGTAATAATGAGCGTAGGAAAAACGTGCGATGTTCCCTTGGAATCGCGATGATCTCTCTCTATCTCTATCGCCGAAATTAGAACGCGGTTCTCTCGCGAAAATTAGAGCGGACGAGCGACGCTGCACGCTGTCTCCACGTCATCGAATCGACGACGCCGTTTTCCGATCCGAGAAATATCGCGGTCGCGGATATCTCCTCGTGATGCAATTTCCATCTTCTCCGGCGATCCAGCAGCTTCGCTCGTTCCCGCGGAAATACCGACGCGAGCCGCGATCCTCCGGTCGCGTTCCGAGTAAAGGAGAAACGGTTTCGCGTTCGCCGAGGTAAAATGGGATACGAAAGAAGAACGACGACTTCCTCGCCTAGATTTTCAAGAATAAGCGAAAGGAAAGAATCGACGCGGCGATTCGTTAGCCGGCAGGAAAATCTAGATTAAGCTCGGGCCTTCGACTTTGGTTTCTGATCTCCGTCTTGTTCTTTTTTTTGTTTCTATTCGCAATCCGTTCATGCGTAATTATCCGTCCTTTCGCCCCTCCACGTACGATGTACGATACGCAAAAAACGAATCGACCGATCGCCATCGACCATCGACCATCGACCGAACCGTATCGAAAAATCAAAGGCAACCGGAGAGGAAGATCGAGTAAGTTTTCCGTTCGAAGAACGAAGTCTCTACGTTCGCCTCTTGTTATCTCGTTCAGCTATTCGCAGTGTTTATACTTCTCGTTTCGTACTATCTGTCCATCTATCTATATCTGTTTCTCTTTATTTTTTTCTTCTCTTTCGCTGCGCTGTCCTTTAAACTATTTAAATATTCTACTTTTTCTCTATCTATCTGTCTCTCTTTCTCTCTCTGTTTAAAGCTGAGTCTAACCGTTCTTCTCACGCTGTTGTCGTGTCGTTATTGTTGTGGTCGTCGTTTTGCATCAATTCGGTCCTACGTCTGTGTACATACGTCCGCTGTTTCGCTCTGCGCAATCTGTATTTTGTACGTACGCGCGTACTCGTTTATTTGCGCATTTGCTTCTCACCGGCCGCTTCGTCTTTTTGTTCTTCCGGTCTCTTCGCTCCGTTGTCTCGTCGTTATCGACGAGACTCATCTCCGTGTTCAACGCGTTCTTCCGCACGATTTTCTCTTCGCTCTGATAACGATCGACGATCTTCTTTGTGAAAGACGCTTCTTTCTCGAAGACGGTCCGTTGTCGATTCTCCACCGGTACCGGCTTACTCGTCGCCGCTTTCCACCGCTTATTTGACGGCACCCGTTAAACGCTACCGCTACTCTCGCTACCGTTACGCGAGGACGACCCCTTTCCAGTGGTTCTCGAACGAGACCTTTTCTTCGCAAATTTCTATTGTGTCTCGCACCTCGCCAAGAACTCGTTTGGAAACCATTTAGAAGCACGAATCTCGTCCAATGGTTTCCCTATTTCGATTCTGTTCCACGTAATCGAAGCAATCGGATGTCGCGAAAATCGTCACTTTCCGGTTCCAGCGCAGCGTGGCCGTACCACGCGATTTTCCCGCATTTTGTTTTCCGCGCGACGCTTTTTTCCCCCCGGAATTCGCTTCTCGCGAAAGCTTGTTCGTCTCTCGCATACTTTCTTCCTCTTCGTTTCTCGATCCTCGGATCTCGTCGAGAAACGGGTGTAGCAGGGAACCGACGTTTTCATCGATTTGGTGAACGTCCCGTCGCTTACTTTTTCGGTTCCGTCGCTACACTTCGCCGTCTTCGTCCTACCGTCTTTGATGCTGTGTCGCTGTTGCTGCGTCGATGGTTGAACGATGTCTACTTCGCTGCCACTTTGTCCTGTCCGCCGCCCGTACACGTCCGCGTGCATACTCGTATACGTGAACATTGAAACGCGTACGTATGTAGATACGTCTCTCGACTCTGGTCGACTCGATACATGGACGTTCCGGACCACGCCACGACCACGATTAAATTCCCTCGGCTTTTCCATTATCATTAAATCGTAAAATCTGCACGTAAAACGGAGGAAATAAACGCGTGCTCTCGATCAGACGCCCGAGCACGGAGTCGCTCGACTCTCTGAGGAGGAAAATAATGAGACTGGTAATTCCGTGAGTGGGATCGTTGATGTCGAGGATCGGCCGGGTACTCGAGAGCGAAGACTCGTGTGAAAAGGACTGAACGAGACGAGAAATAAGCAAAAATAAGAAACGACACACAGGCGCGGAACGGTCCCACGTTAAAAAACCAGGTTGGAGAGAGATTACAATCGTTATTAATGTGCCTTTCCTTTCTTTTTTTGTAGGGGTAGGGCGTCCCAAAAGTAAGTTGAAACATCGAGAGGTTGTTTATTACACGTCAATAATACTTTCTTTGTTCTTCGGCCGCTTTCAACAAAACCCCCAAACCCCTCAAAGCTCGCGCTTCTTTTCGAAATGTTGGCGGGAACGAGAACGAGACTCTCGCGATTCTTCCTCGCGCTTCTATCAGGACCGTGAAAACGCGCGCGTCGAGGTATTCCGTACAGGGATGTTCGACTCTCCGCAAACAATCGATTCTTCCAAAAAATCGATTCTTTTAGATAAACGGTATAAATAAATACATAAATATTCGTTTTTTTTCTTTGGTGTTGGGTATATGGGCAGGTATTATTAAAGGACAAATCGATTTTTTAAAGAATCGAATCGAACATCCCTAATTCCGTACCCTTGCGTCGTGTCGTCGATACGTGGCGCAGCAGCGCCGAGGTTGCGTAAGAAGCGCGCGAAACTAATATAGCTCGCGTCGCGCCGCCTCTCCTCGGCTGGATCGTTGCCAAATGTTTCATAAATACGTGTACGATAACGTAATACGGTTTATTCTTATACCGAAGCTGCGACGCGCGTACAGCACGGCGAACGAACGACGCGATCATTTTCCGTGGAGATCTACGGCCGTGCGTCGTCGTCCCATCGATTCGTGTTTTTCGACGTTCTCAGGTTTTTGATTCTGGAGACACGGGGTGTCTGGAAAATGTTTTTTATTTTCAGGACGAACGAGAGCAACGATACACAGTTTCCTCCCGTCCCCCTTCTTTGTTTTACTCGTCACAGTCCGAGCCATTGTTCACCCTCGCGGGTCTCAAAACTCGACCGCCCTTTCGTTTCGTTTTGTATCTTCCGCGAAGCCTCCGTGTCCATGTGTCTCGTATCGTTCCAAATTCCATGAATCTCATCGATCGCACAATGAAACGTGAATAACGTCTCGATCCCGCCAAGACTAATGGTTTAATATAGTTCTCGTGATCAGTGCTCGAAGCAACACCACCACCAAACCCCCCTGCCCGTCAACCAAGCTATCTGTTTCTGTTTTTTTCTCTATCTCTCTCTCTGTCTCTTTCGATCCATCTCGTGTTTTTTCTTTTTGTCTCTCCGAACGTTCTTGATTAATCACGAATTAACTGCTCTGTACATAATCTCCGTGTGTTTGTCACGCTCGTACAATCGCGCGTACACCTACGTATATCTGCGTACGAGGTCGGCCGAACGAGATCTTTTCTACGGATCTCGTCAGAAATATTCCGATTCCCCCCAGACCCGATCGAACCCCCCGCCCCCCCACACTGAAAAGTACTAAATCGACGCAGCGTCTCCAAGCGTCGGCTTTTTTTTGTATCCCAACACCAGCAGCAACAGCAGCTACCCAACGCCCCTCCACAAACCCTTGAACCCTTGTCAATTTTAATTACGTTCGACTTTTGCGCTATGATCTATCGACCTTTAACGAATATCGCGGAAAGATCGACCGAATCGTTATCTCGGGGGTAGCTCGATTCTCCACGTTCGAGACGGTTTCGGACGTCTAGACGATCTCGTCTAGCAGTGACTCGTCGCGCCGATTACGCGATCAGTGAACGCGTTGCCAACGGTAATGAACGTTGTTTAGAAGTTTCGAACGGCATGGCCAGCGACAATACTGACCAACATTAATTCTTGGCCACGATCCCGTTTGGCATCGTCGCGTTTCATTTTTCAAAGCTGACTCGTACGGTACTCGAGGCGTGACAAAAACGTGTGCTGACATTTTTTAAATAAACGAATGATGGTATTTGGAGAATCGGGCGGCGTCTGGGGTGAAACGATCGTTAAGGGTGTCTCGCGTAAATCGGCTGAGCTCCTCGGCTTCCGTCGCTTCTTTTTTAAGGCGTTGTGGATAACGCGCGATGACGAGACCGAGGCGACGAGTAATTGTAAGATTAAGCAACGACTGTGCGCGCGTTGCTTGCATTTGAGATTCCAGTTGCGAGAGGATAAGATAATGACTGACGAAGAGAAGAGTGACTGCACGTCTTTGGTACGATGGGTGTATTCTCTCCGATTCTTTCCTAAATATCCTTCGTCTTTTACACTGGATTTCTATAATAGCTTCTCAGTCCTCGGTCTTCAATACTCAGTATTCAGTTCTTACTTCTCAATTGTTTGTTACGTTTGTAGCGTAATGGGTTGTTTCTCGATAGATGATTAATGAAAATCGAAAGAGAAAGGGTAAATACATGTTGGAACATTTTAGATCTAATTTTCTTTTACTTTTATTGAAGTGAGGAAGGGTTCCTGAATGAAGTTGGAAACAATGAATATGTACGTTTATGATAGTATAATAACTTTCAAATAAATGATGTATCACGAAGCAACCTAAACAAGCAGTTGGGAATTGAGAACTGAAAACTGAGTGCTGAGAACTAAGTACTGAGTACTGAGAAGGGGCTATAAATTGCAGTCGTATTTTCAAGCTCGTCGCTTCACGGAAGATCGTTTCGCTTGACGACGAGTCCGTGCGTGGCTCGCGATTCGCCGTCGAGACGATTCATTTTGAAATCCGTGGAGTACGGATAAATAAATTTTGAAGCGTGAAAAATAGATAGAATCGTCCCGTAGATATCTTCTCTCGCTCACCCGCTAAATCGCTTTCTGTGGAAACGCTTGATCGCTTATTCTCGAGCGGCCTCCAATCCCGTATTATCCTTCCCCAGCTAAGCGAGTAAACGAATATCCCCCGCCGAAACTCCTTTCGTCCGAACCTTCAAAGCCCTACCGACGTTTTCCGTAGTCGTTAAAATTGGAGACTCTTCCTAAATTTTATAATTATGATCGGTTTTGCGCGAGTCAGCTTCGTCGATCGGACAATTTTCTGTCAATCATTTCTTTCTATTCCACGTTTTCGTTATCGTCCATCGGATTCGAGTTTAATTTGATTATTTTATTCATCGATGAATTAATATACATAAAAATAATCAAATTACGTCGAACGAATGTCAGTATCATAAAGTTGCTTTGACAATTACGACTTGATGAAAAATTTTTATCTCTTCTCTGGAGAGTTACGTTTATTCGTCCGTTAATTTGCTCGCTCGATTGACTGTGGTGAATTACAACTTGCAGAAATTTGCATCGACAGATTTTGCAACGCAGAAAGAGACGCGTTATTCTAGCGAACATCGGAGCCGGACCGGATATCGAGTTTTTATTTTATTTACTTATTCATTTATTAACACGGGCTTGTAAAACCGATTCGTATACAATAACAAATCTATTAAATTTGTTAATTAAAACATACCGACTCAAATCTGCAATTTAACTTAGTCTCGGGTCATCCTCCCGTCTCTTACTTCGATCGTCCGAGTAACACGCTTTCATATTGAAAAACGCTCCACCATCTTTTCTATCGATCTGTTCCATCTATCTATCTACCTGTCCGTCCGTTTACGTGCGTCAGTGTGTTTGAGAGTGACAAGTGGCGAAAACTAAAAAATGGTGCGAGACAGCGAGTGATAACTCGGAACGAATGTGATGAGGGATGAGGGACGTAATAAATAAGGGTAAACGGAAAATGGAACGCGAGAGCGGAGACGTTGCGGATCGGGAAGAGCGACTGGAACTAAAGAGAGTTACTTTTGTTTTCGCTCCGATTCCGGCCTACATCGCAGGGACTCCGCGGAGAATCCCGAGTTTATGAAGGTGAGGCGAGATCCCGGGATCCCCGAGATCTCGTAGACCCACGAGATACGATATGTCGGGGACCGTACGGGTACGGCTCGGTAAGGAAAGTTCGGTATTTACGTTCGGGGGCGTTCTCTATTTTTCCGGTGGCGAACAGAGGCAAGAACAGAAGAGGAGCGATTTGGACGATCAGCTGAAGGAATACATCGCGGAATGGCGGAAGCAGAGGGCCAAGGAAGAGGAGGAGCTGAAGAGATTGAAGGTTCGCGCGCGACGTAAACCAACCTCGAATCCGTTTTATGACCCGCGTGCATGAATCCGGAACAGGTTCCGTTACCCGCGAATTTATTTCTCTCGTGGTTCCCGTTCTGTAGGAGAAGCAAGCGAAGCGCAAGATCACTCGCGCGGAAGAGGAGAAGAGATTGGCTCAGATGAAAAAGGAGGAGGAGGAACGTCGCCAACGTGAAATCGGTCGGTTTGCTCTTTAGACTCTGTCCTAATCCTAATCGCGCGTCACATGCCTCTCGATGTCGTTTACCATGCTTTTTTCAATTCGCAGAGGAGAAGAAACAGCGCGACATGGAGGAGAAGAGAAGGTACGTAAGAATATTTCTCTAAACGTGGGCTCGGGCAATTTCAAAATCGATTCCTCACCCAGGCGTCTCGAGGAATCGGAAAAGAAACGCCAGGCTATGATGCAAGCTATGAAGGACCAGAGCAAGAAGGGTCCCAATTTCACCATCACCAGGAAAGATTTGGCAGTTCGTATCCTCCCTTCCCGATGATCTTTCGGGTCCATCGAATCGTTGAACACTGTTTCTTTGTTCAGGGTAACCTGACGTCGGCGCAACTGGAGCGCAACAAGACGAAGGAGCAGCTCGAAGAGGAGAAGAAGATCTCTTTGAGCATTCGCATCAAACCTCTGGAGGTCGAGAATCTGTCCATCGAGAGACTCCGGGCGAAAGCCAACGACCTTTGGGACACGATAGTCAAGCTGGAAACCGAGAAGTACGATCTCGAGGAGCGGCAAAAGCGTCAAGACTACGACGTGAGTACGCGAGACGATCATAGCGTCGTTTCCGAATTTACGTTACGGCGGTGACAAACGCGGTTGAGTCGCGCGATGAAAATTGCATCGGCTCTCATACCGGGTTTATGCGAAACGATAAGTATCGACGGAAGAACATTCCGGATAATGGCCTTACCTCGTCGTTGGTTGCAGCTTAAAGAATTAAAGGAACGTCAGAAGCAGCAGTTGAGGCACAAGGCTCTGAAGAAAGGTCTCGATCCCGAAGCCCTTACCGGCAAGTACCCGGTAAGTTCACGACGAAACCCAACAGAATATTTAATGCGCAAGTCTCTCTCATTTATTCTGCTTCCATTTAGCCCAAGATCCAAGTCGCCTCGAAATACGAACGTCGAGTCGATACCAGGTCCTACGACGATAAGAAGAAGCTCTTCGAGGGTGTAAGTATCTCTACGATTTCTCCCTTTGATCGGTCGCATCTCCGAACGTTGCGTGAATTCGGCGCGTAGACCTCGCGAAAACGACCCGAGAGGACCGACCGAAAAATTGTTCGAAAGAACGCGTAAAACCGATGCGACCCGGTCGAAACAACGAACGATGAAGCCTCTTACCGAGATCCTCGTAGAACGTAGGGTAGAAAGTTAACGGTCGAGAGTACCGATAAGCTGATGATCAGAGACGAATTCGATTGTTGAATCGCAGGGCTATGACACGCTTTTAGCGGAGGTCAACGAGAAACTTTGGAAACAGAAAACGGAACAGTTCATGAAGCGCACCAAAAGTGAGTCTTGCCGAGATGGCTGTCGACGTACCCCCAACGCCCTGTTTGTTTGCGTTTCCGATTGAACCCCCCCCCCCACACGACCCTCGACCCATCGATCGGGATCGTCGCGTCTTCTGATTTGGTGGTTGGCCCTCCAGCAGTCGACTCGCTGCCGTTTCCAAGCTTGCCCCTACTGTGTAATTGACCACCGCACGACCCTTCGTAATTGAATAATATCGAAACTGCCCCGAGAACACGGAAGTACCCTCACACAAAGATCAATTATTCACGGTACGCGCATCGGCGTACGACACGAATTATCTACACCCGTACACGCATTCACGGAAGACACTGTATGTGCTCGCGTTACCATTTTCGTCGAGTGACTAACCGATGCGACTCGATTCCGTTTGACCCGAGAGAACGGCCAAACTCGATTAACAATCGTCGTCGCGTCAAACGTGCAGCGAGTTCCAGAGGAATACGCGCGTATCGCGGTGTCACCGTGCCACCCCGTCGAGCCCCTCGCCCGGAGATACCGTCGGACGACGGATAGGGTCCCGAGTGTCCCGAGTGTGACGACGCGTCCTAGCATGCCGTTTTGTCCGTTCCGTGTTTCAGGGTCTGACCGAGCAGCAGAAGGAGATCATAGAGAAGCAGTGGACTCAACAGAAGGAGCAGTTCCTCGGTCGTCAGAAGAGTACGTACGACACGGCCCGCTCTCTCGAGCAAACGCACAGAATTTTTCCAACGAAAATGTTAACGACGCGTATCGTAAGCATGAGAATAGCATGAATAAACGATGAATAGGTGAATGAATGAATATGAAAAAATAATAATTACGAACAAATAAATGAATGAATCAATGAATGAGTGAGAGACTGGAGGATGAACGAGTAAAAGAACGTTCCACTGGTTCTTGTCCTTTCGCGTACCGTGCGTCTGTTCGAGACGGGGGCCCGGTAAGTTTCGTCAATATCTTGTGAAAAGTAAGACGAGCGACGGTCACGAAGAGAAATATTTGATCGTTATCAAAGAACACTGAACGCCGAGAATCGCGAAGATCTATTTAAAAAATTGACAATCGCCTATAAACGTCCTTTGACGATTTTTTCGTCTCTCGATACACACGCTGGTGACGAATTAGTACGAATCCTCACGGACCTTCGCTCTCGTCGTTTACTCATTGTAACATTTTTGTGACAATCCCAGAATGAATCGAAAAAAAAAATCGCGATCCACGCTAACAACGTCCATTCGTTAAAAATAAATAATTCGATGGTCGGTTGTAATTGGAACGGAGTTTCTTTTTGGAAACAGCGAAGTTGCCGAAATGGTTCGGCGAGAGGCCGGGCAAAAAGGCTGGAGATCCCGAGTCTCCGGAGGGCGAGGAAGACGTGAAGGCTGCGGCTGAGGATGAAGATTTGGAGGAACCACAGTTCGAGGAAGAAGAGGAAGAAGAAGAGGAAGAGGAGGAAGAGGAGGAGGAAGAGAAGAAGGGAGGCGCTAAGAAGGACGAAGAAGAAGAGGAAGAAGAGGAAGAGGAAGAGGAGGAGGAGGAAGAAGAGGAAGAGGAGGAAGAAGAAGAGGAGGAGGAAGAGGAGGAATAAGCTTATCCTCCTTTGAACGAGTACACAGGCGCCTGAACGAGACCCGCGAGTTCGATCGATTCGATCGGTCGACCGAAATAACGAAACAACTTTCGGACCATCGGACGGACATAGTCGTGGCGGCAGCGGAGACGACGATGGCGCGCGACCGCGGTCGGAATCTCGTCGCCGTGGGCTGGCTCTTCGCTTCCGGCTCCTCTTTCGTCGCGCGTCGTCGTCGTCGCGTCGAGGCGATCGCGAAAAGAACGGTCACGCGTCTTCTCCTCGCCCACGACCGAGCCTGCGACGGCGAGCGTTCCGTCGCGACGAAACGCGCTTACCACTTCTCGGCTGTCCTGCCACCGCTACTCATACCATTCGTTGCTCGTAATACTTAATTGCTACTATTATTCTTATTATTATTATATTGTACAAAATACACGCACACATTATTAAAATAAAAAGGAAGAAGATCGATCGCGACCGTGTACGATTTCTCACCTGTCCCGTAGAAGATCTCAAATCGCGTCACTAGGAAAGGTGCCATTTTTATTTATTTACTTATTTATTTCTTTCTTTAATTTTCGATGAATATTTTGTTGTTCGACTCACAGATCGGTAAAAACCGAAAGAGAACGTTCGAAAATTCCTGTGCACGTATTTACGTCATATTTTTTGCGGAGCGGAAGGAATTTGAGAGATCGCGGTCGGTCGTGGACATGACAAATTTTCTGCCTCGTGTGGTTGACCCGAGCTTCGCGGTCGAGGCCGAAGGAACCGAGAGAACTGTACGGCTTGCAAGATGAAAATCATCGCATCTTCTTTTCTTTTCGTCATATTTTTCTAGTCTCTAGTCGTTCTTCCGTTACGAGCGTAACGCGGAAGTAATCAGCAATATCTAGAACCTATCGTTTTCGTCAGTGACGCGATCGTGGCGCGTACGAAACGAACACGTGGGCCAGTCAATTCGCTATACCTTCGCGAACGCAGTTGGTACTTAATCATCGTAGTTGTGACGCTCAGAATTCGGCTTGGCGTCAATGCTTCTAAACGGGTGCGAAACGTACGGAGGGTCGTCGACGGTTGCCAAACATCGAACGCTCCTTCTCAAAATAATCATCGGAGAATGTCTAATGACAGTCGTCCGTGCGCATTTTGCTATGTAAAGCTTCGTTCCATGAGTAGTTATTTCAGTTTCCGTGTTGGAGTCGTAAAAACGTGCAAAAGGATCGAGTAGATCTCAACGTCAAAAACACGAGTCGACGCGGAAACGTACTCTGCGGAGTAAATCGTTTATGCGCTTACGATCTGCCGAATTTACTTGATTCATCGTTTTTCGTTTCTTTCGTTGTCGATATTGCGATAAAACGAGTATTTATGTACACACGCTGTGCGGATGTTCCCGCGCGTACGCGAGACACTTATATACGTTACTTGTCCGACGATCATCCGTAGCGAAGTGTCGGAACGACGAAGCCGCGAAATTGACCGAAAGCAAGTCGCGAAAGTTCGGTACGCGTTAGGGCCGCGGCTCGTTAAAATTCAAGGCAGACATCGACGCGGTGACGGAACGATGACGCAAAACGCGGGAGACGAAGGGCGCGGACGGCGCGGAGCGAGGAACGCGAACCGAGGCGAGAGACCAACGGTTTTCCTTTCCGTTTCTGATGGCGTCTCTGTTCATCTCACGCACATACTTCCGTCCTCGGTTCTCGTCCCTCTAACTGAGTCGTCGGTAGCGATCGTAGCGAACAGCGATGGGAACGAAACACCTCGAAACGACTGAAAAAAACTGTCTGTCGTCAGAAGATGCTCCTGTCCGAAACGAGCGATTTCCTCGTTATAGCATGTTGGAATTTGCATCGCGTGCGCGTACGTACGTTCTTTCTCACTCAGAAAAACCGGGCATCGTAGCTGGCGAACGCGAAACCGTCGGTCCCATCGCTGGCCGAGCCGCAACTATTTATAATGATAGCCACTGCGCTGCTGGTTCGAACGTTTCTCTCCTCTCTTTCACGTTCGCTCTTCGCTTCTGACCTCTCCTTTTCTCTCTTTCGGATGATACTCGCACAGACGGACGCGTATATGCTTACGCGCGTTTCGTTACCAACGTCGCTGCCGCGCCGAGTCGGCGAACGTTCGTCCGACAGACAGACCGTGCGTCGTCCCACCTCTTATCGTTAGCCTCTTACCTGATCGCACCAGTAGACGCTCACGATTAGACACCGAAATAAAACGACCGCGAGAAACCCCGAGGCCGACGACGCTTTGAGAATCGCGTCGCGAACGAGACCGAACGCCGAGCGTCGAGCAGCGGAGAAAACCGACCGCAGCGACCTGTTGCCGGTCGCCGAGAACGAGACACCGTAACGTCGCTCCGTGTCGTGTCGTGCGCGAGCGCGCGTCTACGAGTTCTCCGAATACACCGAGTGCGGGATCGCGAGATGTTCGTTGTGGGAACGATAAATCGCGGCGTGTCATGGCGGTGATCGGTCGCGGGGAACGGCCACGTTCTCGTCCTGGTTTACGTTCACGTTCGAGGGGCCGCGATGCTCGTCGTCGTACAGAAGAAGAGAGAAAGAATGCGGAGCTGACTACGAGGCAACGTTTCGCACACGAGGAAACGACGCTCGATGAGGTAAGTACGAAACGGAATTAAACGCGAGCGTAACAGCGACAAAGACCCCGCGCGCGTTTTTCGACTCTCTCTCTCTCTCTCTCTCTCTCTCTTTCGCTCTCCTACCTACGTCGCGACGCGCGCCGAACGTTCCAACCCAATGATCTATAGATCACTGTTCCGACCGCTCCGAGACACGAGACCACCTATGTAGGTATCTCTACGTTACGCTTCGCAGTCGTAACTGGCAGGGCCGCCAGAAGCTAGAAATGTCTGGGGACGCGACGGTTCGCGCAGCCTCGTCCCGCGTGCGACGACAGCTGGAAGCTGAGACTCAAGATTTCGGAATTAGATCTGTTCGCGATTTCTCGACGACGAGGAGAACGCGATTACGATTACCGATTCCGATGGTAGCGAGAACAGGTCTATTAACGTGACGCGATCGCAACGATTACTTCAGCATCTATGATATTGATCAATTCTGAAGCCTTCGGCAACCATGTAACCGCATCTGTTCTTAGTTACTAAACGTAATTGCAATGCTACGAACGAGACAATTAGAAACGTCGATGACTTTTTATCGTTTATAGGGATAAAGTTAGATTTTACGGTCACTTATGCAAACGGAGACACGAGTTCTATGTATACTTGAACACGCGTAGGTACGATTGTATAGTTGCTAAAGTAGAAATGTGAAATTCAGCGACCCTGACTTTACCTTCGCGTTCACTCCGGTTTTATAATGTCAACCTACGCGGGTACAGGAATAGTTATACATATAGTAATATAATATTTATTCTAGCCTTATCGGGCCAAGAATAGAACTTGATTTATACTTTGAGAAACTTAATCGTTCAGGAGTAGTTATATATACGTATGGTAATTGTTACATTTGTTCTTTCACGACTTTTTTAACGGACGATGCAAGGGCTGTGTTTTTTAAACGGTAACGAGTACTTGAATAGCATCCTTATTAATTTGAAAAACAAGTTATTTTGACTTATATAAGTAGATATACGTCAATCGCTAGTAGTTCTAGTGTTAACTGTCGAATTGTTCACCAATGAAATCTTTTTTTTCTATACACCTTATTTCTCTTTCTCTTCTCTGGAAGTAGTGCATCGCTCAGGTACTGACGTGTATATACGATATATCTTGTAGAAACGAAAGCGCTTAGTTCTGCGAGAAGTGCAGTATCTATAGCAAATTCTACGAAGGCTCGCGTTATCCTGGCTTTCCAATCGAGGCTCAGACAGGATCTTCTATCGCTGACTATTCTATGGACCGCTCTTATACTTTCAATTTTCGTATTCAGCCTCTATGCGCCGTGCGTTCATCCACCGTGCCCACTCATTTCTCTCTCAGGACTTTTAATCTGGAAAGAGCCGCTCGAACAATGTCTATCGAGCCTTTTTTAAACAGAATTTTGCCAACAGCTTGCCCTTTCCTGTACTCATTTCTCTTACCAAGTCGACCTTTCGAAGAAAATAGAATTCTTTATTTGTCTCTTGCAACGTTACGTTCTATACTGTTTGACGATTGTTTACTTTCATTTTTCTCAATCTCGGAATTCTGTATGTAATAGGTGCATTCTCGAGCGTACAGAGTGCGTTAAAAACAAATATGACGAATTAGAATAGTCGTTTCTAGCATTGCACACGTGAGGTAAAATTACAGCTTTGAGTTCGAAGCGACCGCGGCACATTAGATTATTCAATTTTTGCTTTAATATTCATTTATATATTTGTCGTTCATTTCCACCGTGAACGAGGCGAATCGAAATTTTGTTTTTTCAATTACTGTTTTATGAGGACCTGTATCAAGAGATATGAATATACCCGAGAGCTGAAGACGGGCATCATGTCGCGTCGCGTACCTCGTACGGTAAAAATTAACAGAACGACGAGGATGCATTTGGAAAATAAATTACTTGATCTATTGTATCGGAAGAATCGTAACGCAATGACAAAAGAGTACGCAAGGAAAAACACGGTATTTTATTGTCGGGCTAATTAAATTTGACGAGGAGAGGGGTTAAAAATAACTCGTGGCGACCCGACCCGAGCCGACTCGGCCGATGCGACGCGATGCGACGCGATGCAACGATTGATCCCTCGTCCATCGATGTGTCGCGGTTGTCTCACTCTCACTACGAGAGAGTAGAATAAAAATAAACGATGTACAGACGTAAATGTAAACCGCCGGGTCAGCCTAGGTCAGCGGGAGTTAAAACATGTTTAAAAGATGCTCGCTTTTCGGTAATTTCAAGGAATACCCCCTCGAACTCGGCAATTTTTCGAAATCTGCGAACTTTCGTTTTCAGGTTCTCAGATTATGAACATTTTATTCTCTCGCACCAGAACTTCGAATCGAAACTGTTCATAATTCATTATTAATTTATTATACTACAGCTCGATGTAATAACTAGGTGTTAGATTTATGAACGATAATGTACGTACGCAACGATGGTACGGTGCGATGCAGAGCAGAGGCCACTAATCCCAGACTTGACCCACAAAATCCTTAATGACTTTTTAAATACTCCTTAGATCTCATTGTTTAATCTTAATGTAATGCCCACATATAATTTGTGCCATTAATTGTCGACCACCTTCCCTTCACTTTTTATTCAGATACTGCGGGGTTCCTATCACTCTAACGTGTATATTCGTATCTTGGACTATACTTTTATTTTTCTATCTTTCCATTCAGTATTTGCCGTTCGACGTCAAATTCTATTTTTGCCAACTCTTAGCTCCGCGCATCAAGTTGATACCCCCTCCGCCCCTTATTAAATATTCCTCCCTTTCCTTAATGCTTTTACCCTGCGTTACTGCTTTCTCCCCCCCCTTTCAGTTTAT